GCCTTGGTCTCAGAGGAGACTCTGGACTGGACCTTTCGGCAAAGCTGTCCTCCTTTACGTTCTGGATGTTGGGCATTCTGTCCCAGTGATGAGAAAGCGACAAAAATACCTTTGCATAACTTTTAGCACTGCTGGAGACTGAACCCTGGGTGCAGGGTAGGCAAGCACTGCAACGTGTACTACACCCCAGCCTTATCCTTTTATTCCTTGTCAGATCTACTTTCTTCACCAAATCAGAATAATGCTATTCTGATTTAGTTGGTAATGATGTATCTCTTATGTCATCCCACTAATTTCCTCTCTAGTCTCCTGGATTCCAAATTCTATTCTCTGTCACTTATACCACTTACCTTTTTAAAGTTATAAACAGGACACCTTTCCCTGCTTAAAAATCTTCACTGGCTCCCCATCTTCTAGGATCAAATCCAAACTGCTTGACTAAATGTAGCAACTCAGGTATGGCTGGCTTCACTTGCTATCTCCAGACAATCCTGTATCCTACCAGCAGCACAACATACTCCTGCCCCTCGAAACAGGTTCCATTTCCTTCAGGGTCTGTGTCTTTTGTAATACTCTAACTTCTATATTCCTAAAACCCAATTCATGCTTCTTTATTAGATGATTCTTATTCATCCTCTACAATTTTTAAGTTTTGTGTTTATTACTTTAATAATTCTATGACAGTCCCCAGTATACGTGATTACCCATGAGTTCTAACGTAACTACCATTACGTGGGCAAGCCTTCTTGAGCAGAGGACAGTGTCTCATTGACATGTGTAACCCACGCTAGTCAACATGTAGCACAGAGTGTGTAGTTGACTCACTTCCTATGTTTATCCTACTTGGTCCTTGCACACTATGTCTCTGTTACTTGTCACTCTGACACTCATGTTTAAACAGGGTAGATTCTCATTTTAAAGGAAAAGGCTGCATTTCATCCCCGCATTTCTTCTGGTTATTGTCTCAGAACTTTCAGTGTTCACAGGCAAGCTACGCTCTGGCTGTCTCTCCATTGCTTTCAACTCATTGCAATCTATGTCCCTACCACTCCAGTGGAACTGCTCTGCAAACTGTCAGGACTTTTGGTTGTGAAACATAGTGAGCGCACTGCTGCTTTCTGGATCTTCTCTCCGCTTCTCCAGTTTCGTGTTCTACACTTTCCCACTCCGCTGCACTGTCCAGGGGCTGAATGCTAACTTGCTTTCAGCCTCATGGCTGAGTTTGGCTACTGGATGACACCAGCAGAAGCCTAGGACGGCAAGAGAAGCAGCTCGGTGACTTACTCTTGGTTTTCTGCCTGCTGTTCTTGGAGTAGCAGTGGCACAGTTCCTGTACACGCTCATCAGCCCCTTCCACTACAGCTCTTCTCACGTCAGGTGTGCATGTCAGTATCGCTGGCGTTGCCGACAGTTCTGGAGGACTTCACAAGCCTCCGGTGCCTGCAGTCTCTTTGTTAATCTCTTCTCAATCTTTTTAAATGTGCCGTCTGTCTTCCGTCAAGTCTCTGAGGAGCACGACTTTTTCTGTTATCATTGCATTGACTCTTTAGAAGTCATGATCGCTGCAAAAACTTCTTTTCATGAAACTTGATCCTTCCTTTGTTTCCATGACACCACGCTCTTCTAGTCCCATGTCACTAACTCCAGCTGGTCCGACCTACAGGTGTCTCCTTTTGCACCTCTTTAAATGCTGTTGTCCAGTGCTCTGCATGGAACTGCTCCTACTGCTTACCCATGTCCGCTGTCTTTTCTCTTTCATTCTTGATCATACAATTTCTACCTTTACTAAAATACTTTATTTCAATCCACTATCCACAGAACTTCTCAATGGATCAAAATGGTATGTTTTAAAAGTTTTAATTTTACTCATCTGCTTAAAATATTCCTTAACATATAGATGTATTTACCTCTCTTAGCTGTTTATATTTTGCATTTCATGACTTAGCCAACTGGTCACTTCTATAGTGTGGGATGCCTTCCACTGTTCTCAGCCTTGGCACATGCTCATTACTTTGCTGGGCCATCTACCCTACTTCTCCACGATAATTCCACTTTCCCAATGCTTTGCTAAGGAGCTCTCTTATTTCATGAGTTCTTACTTGAACTGTATTGAAAACTGAGGGGATGAATTTATTTTTTCTTACCCCCAATAAATGGAATTACTGACCACAGGTATTCTAAAGATGGAATAGTCATACACAGGTAAAATATTAACATAATTTATTCTATGAATTATTGATATATATTTTTTAAAGATTTATTTATTTGATACAGGGTCTACACAGCTCGGACTCAGTGATTCTCCTGTCTCAGCCTCACCAGTGCTGGAATTAGAGGTGTGTGCCATCACACCATCACACACCTCTGGTTTCAGTGGCTGGCCTGATACAGGGTGAGCATTGCATGTGGTAATGGGGACTGAACTTGGGTCCTTGTGCTTGCCATGCAGGTGCCTACACCGCTGAGCTATCTCCCCAGCTGAATTATTGATATCTACCCTGTAGACCTGGATAGAATCATGACCTATAGGGTGCAGGAGAAATCTATTTGTAGAGTATGCTTATGGAAACATTTTGCTGCTGTATACAAAAGAATAACTTAATGACGCTTTTATATACCTCTTTTTCACTTGTGTTTGTTTGCCCTATTTGGTGGGTTCTTTCCATTCTCTTTCATGGAGTTGTGGTCATTTTGATCCCTCTCTAGAACAATTTTTAGTAGTCTGTGTAGGCTTGGCTCTGCCATCATGAAATTCTTAAGTTGTTCTTTGTCATGGAAGCACTTTACTTCTCCATTACACTTGAAAGAGTTTTGCAGGGTATATCAATCTGGGTTGGAATTTGTTTTCTTGCAAGACTTGTAGTACTTTGCTCCATGCTCTTCTTGACTTGATGGTTTGTTTTCAATTAGCAATAATCGTATCTCGGATAAACCTCATTGGCTACGATACTGCCACTGCGCAAAGCTTGACTTGATGGATTGTGAAGAGAAAGCTGCCATTATTCCGATGGGTTTTCCTTTAAACGTGATCTGTTTCTTTTCTTTTCTTTAGCGGCTTTTAGTATACTGTTCCTGTGTTGAATTTCTGGGATCTTGATTATTACATGTCTGGGTGTGCTTTTAATTGGATTCATGCTATTTGGAGTTCTATATCCTTCGTTTACATGAATGTCAGATTGTTTCCCCATATCTGGGAAGTTTTCTGCTATTACTTCTGTCCATATTCTTTTTATATCATTTGTACTGACTCCTTCTTCCTCATTGATGCCTATTAGACTTACGTTGTTCATCTTTGCATCGTCTGCAGATGTTGAATTATTTTTTCCTGCATCCTAGTTGTTTTTAAGAGATCTTTTCTTACTTTTTCACTAGCTGCAATGGTGTCTTTAAGGTCTATTTCACTTTCATTCGAATGGTTTTGCCAATTTGTGATTGAGGTTTTAATTTCCTGTATAGCACTTTGAATCTGTTTCATACATTCTATTTCTTTTCTATATTACTCATTCAAGGATTCCATCATTTTTCTGTTCTCTATTTTTTATTAGTCTTCTTTAAAAGCACCTAGTACTTCTTTCACTATAGTTATCATTTCTTTTTTTTACTTCAGATATTATTTCTGGTCTGATTTCCTCTATGCCTTTCTGCAGCTGTTTCTTTACTTCAGACGCTACTATTTCAGAGATTTCAGGTGTGTGATTTCCAATTTCTTCTATGCTAGTATCTCCTCCATTTGTTCTGGGTGGGCTCGAGACCTGAGAATGCATTTTGTTCCTTCTCTTTGTCATTTTGTGTAGCACTGTCTTCTGACCTTTGGTATAGCGCTTAGATAAGAGTTATTACCTTAGCACCAGGTCTGATCTACCAAGTTCAAACTCCTCCAGGTGGGTGTGGCTTGGGTCTGGCTGCTGTGTTCCACTTCTTCCTGCTACAGACCTTGGAGGTGAACCCTCTGGCAACACGTTCTGCTCCCAGATCAGCTGGGTGGGTCTTGCCTCTAGCCTCTCTGCAGGGAGTTCTGCTGCAGGGTTCCACACCAGGCCTGTCTGACGGAGGAAGTTCCACGCACACACAGGCCTGGGCCTTGGCTCCAATGAAGATCCAGCGGGCCCCGGGCAGTTCCACTCACATGTTCGGCCTTTGCTCTGAGTCAAATGAAGATTGGGTGGGCCCTGGGTGGTTCTACTCACATGCCAGGCCTGGACTCTGGGTTGAATGAGGACCAGTCACCCTGGTCGGTCTCACTCACACTCTGGGTTTGGGTCAAATGAGGATCCATGGGGTCTGGGTGGTCTCATTCATATTACAGGCCTTGGCCCACCAAAGATTTTTAAAATAATTCTTACTGATATCTTATATAAGTAAATGTGAAATATTATCATTGCTTAATTAATATTATTCTTTATTTTTGAAGCATTATTTAGAACACTAGGGATTATATTTTATGATAAGTCTACTTTTCCACATCTTACAAAGCTAGTTCTTGTTTGTAGTAACATCAATAAATATACAATAAATAAATAAATAAATAAATAAATAAAAACTAGAGTGTTAGAAGGCACACAGTGCTTGGCTGATCCATCCTACTGTTCCTAGATGATTCATTTATGCCACTTTGGACAGGAACTAAGAGTTGCTGTAGTTTTTTTTTTTTTCTGTAGTATTTTTAGGACATTTAGGAATAACTTTTCCAGTGAGGAAGAAAAATCTCTTTCTTATATAAAATTACTTTTTTTAACCTAAGTTTATATCACTATAATTCAACTTTCTTTTCTCAGTAATAAAAAAACCCAACCAATAGCAGAAAATTATTCAACATAGGAAGTATTTATAGTATCCAAAACTTTTTCAGACAACAATTAGAATTTGGATTTTACCTCAATTTAATCTGTGAAAATAGATAAACCTAGAACATAAGAGACAAGTAACTAATGCAAGGCACACAAACGTAGCAGCTAGAAATTACTATACACAAATAATTATAAATGATAATTATAAATTACCTCCAATTTATTGTTGGTCTGTGAGAAAAGGGAAGGTTTTCTGATTTCAAGTTGGATTCTTGAATTTGTTTGAGGGCTTCTTCTAACGGAGGAACCGATCTGTGAAAAACTGAGAAGCATAAAGAAAGATCAGACCATGAAGAAGCACCTCATTGTTGATGGCCTATATGTAAGTTAGTTGGTCAGTGAATAAAACATTATTTTAAAACACTTGCAAAAAGAAAGTATTTTACAATAGTATAAATATTAAAATTTTGACATTTAATTTTCAAAAACAAGCTATTTCTTGGAAATGTTCATCACCAATTTTAAGAATTACTTGAAAAAACAAAACTTTGAGAAACGTCCAGGCTCTTTATTCCGTCATATAAACCTCTCTGTATTTGACCTCTTAGTCCCATAAGTTTCTTTTTCCTTTTTTTTGGCAGAACTGGGGACTGAACTCAGGCCCTTGCACTTGCCAGGGAAGCGCTTATTACACTGAGCAATCTCCCCAGCCCCCGGTCCATAAATTTCTGACAAAATATATAAATACTCTATGAATAAAAGAGGAAATATAAACTAATATTTACTCAACATCCACTGTTATATCTTATTTTTAAGCACTTTATATGTACTGTATTAACTAATTTATTTTATTTTTTAAATTTTTTATTTCTTTATCTGGCATAGGGACCCACTATGCAGCTCAGACTTGTAGTGGTCCTCCCGTCTCAGTCTCCGCAGTGCTGGGATTACAGGCATGTGGCACCATGCCCAGGGTTTGGCTACCATGGTCCCCCTGGGGTTTGGGCTGGCATGGCATGTGGTACTGGGGATTGAACCTGGGTCCTTGCGCTTGCCAGACAGGCACTTAGACCACCAGGCTATCTCCTCAGTCCTTGTATTAACTAATTTAATCTTCACCTTGGCTTATGAGGCAGATGGTATTTACATTTTGCAGCTAAGAAGACCAAGATACAAAGAAGCTAGGTACCCTGAACAAATGCTGACACTGGGGTGCACACACTGCTCTGTGCAGCCTTTATCCCAGCCCTGCCTCCGGTACGTACTCACTGTCCAGAGCTTTCTTTTTCTTTTGTACCTTTTTTTTTTTTTGGCCATAATTTTATTGATAAGCAAATAGCAATGAGACACTTTCAAATCAAATCGGTAGGACAGTTTCAATAATTACCACACTGCATACATTCTTCCTAGTAGTTAATTGCTGTACAAGATGCGGATATGATATCCTATTTACAAATACCACTAGAACAAACATTCTATTCATTAAGAGAATGTAACTATATATCTATCCTAACCACTTTGAATACACAGATACAAAATGGACATTCATCTGTATACCCTTTTTTTTTTTTTGTTAAGTTCCGTTATTTGAATATTATAGGTATGTAAACTCAGCAAAATATTCAAAAACAGTCCAGTATCCCATAATAGTATTGGGTCTTCCGCTTGACTGGCAATGTCAGAAATTGTTGACCTGAGTCCCCTACAGCTCAACATAACAGCATGGCTTTATTTCTTATATTTTGTTTTTATACTTTCCTTCTGGATGGTTAAGACCAAAGTAAAGCAGGACCTACGCAACAAGAGTTGTAGCTTTTGGGTCTGATAAGGTCAGTGAAAGCAAGAGACAGGAAAAGGGATACTGTAGGACTGTCCTGCTTCAAGGTTGTATATGGTGAGATTTTTGGACTTTTGTGCAAACATGAGAAGTATATAATTCTTTATGCCTATTTTTAAAATATATTCTAATTTTTAAATGTTTTTTTATCATATTCTGTAGGGACTTAAAGTTCAACATATCAATACTTGATGAAAAATACCTGTTCCACATTATGCCTAAGATGTTTGATATGCAGACAGATAGTGAGGTTAAGCTTAACAGCCTAAGTTGTATGGTAATAACAATAAGCTTGTCTTCTGGATGGTTAACAACCTAAGTTTGCAGACCAAAATTAGAGAAAAAGGAGGGCTGCAAGGAAAGCCAACATTTTGGCCCTAGCCTTCTAAGGTCAATTAAGACTCAGGACATATGAGAACTTGTACTGTAACGTCATATAACTCGGTAGTGTCCCAAATTTTCTGATCAAGGAGATTATGAGACCAAAGAGGAAAGTGACCGATGATGTAGAGTGTGCCTAAGGAGAGTCACATGGGGAGAAAACACTCTCTCAGGCTTTCACAGAGAGCACATTGGCCAAGCAATGGCCGTGACTCATCCACATGGCTGACACTGACAAAGGTTCTACAATCTGAGGTACAGGATCTCAGGATAAATCCTGAGGGGATTTCACTGACCTTGTCCAGAGCTTTCCAGTGTGCACTTCGATGTCAATGTACTCTTATTTCTTTTAGCTTTTTTTCAAATGATATTCTTAGCTTCTTGTTCTGTTGGAACATAGCTCTTAAGAATACTGCTTCTCCTGCTGCCCTCAGTTTATACCTGCGTGACGATTAGCCCAAACTTGAATTTTAGAGGCAGTTCATTTCCCTAATCAACTGATAATGACAGTAAGTCAGAGAAGCATGCAGAGCTGTGGGAGGGCTGCCGATCTTCTAACAGTCCAGGACACACAGTGACTGTCAAGCTTTATACACCAGCTTAGTTCACGAAGGCTGGTACAATAAGTACTTTCAGCAGGGTGGCTTACTAAACAATAGGAATTCATCTTCCATAGTTCTGCAGGCTGAGGAGTCCAAGGTCTGGGGAACAGTGGTGTGCAGTAAGGGCCCGTCTGCACTCAGAGGGCAATTTTTACCCATGTTGTCACCTTACTGAGGAGTTAAGTAGCTCTCTTTTAGGGTACTGATCCTACACATGAAAATATCATAACCTAATCAGTCCCCAAAGGTTCCATCTACACCTGTCACCACAGGGATTAGAATTTCAACACATGACTTTTGGAAGAGACACCACAGAAAACATTGGCTGGTTTTCTAATTATGATACTTAATTTCCAACAGGGGTTTTTATTGGTGGCCTTAGATGTCATCCCTAAGAATAAAAGAATCATATATGCTTGGATTCTTTTTCTCTGTCTTTGCAAGTAGAGAGGGTGACTAAAATATGTTCAGGAAAGTTCACTGATCTTAAATACCTTTAATTTCAATAAAATGCCCATTTTTAACAGCAGGATAGCAGAATATTAAATAGGCTATTAATTTCACCGGTAAAGACTCCTGTTGGAAACTGAATATAAAATAGTGTTTGCTATGGTGTGAATGTTCGTGCCTCTTCCAAAATTCTTATGTTGAATTCTAACCCCTAAAAAACTCCAATGTCTCCATGAGCCATTTTTAAATAATATAAAATACTGATTTAATATATCTGCTACATTTACATCCTCTACATTTTTATGTACATGTCGATAAAAGCCATCCATGCACATACCCGTATAAATTTAGGAGCTTTGCTCTCTAGTCACGTGGCTATAAAGTTGGTCTCTTTTGTTTTTATTATTTATTTAAGTTTTTTTGACACAGGGTCTCACTGTGTAGTTCAGGATGGCCTTGAACTCTTGGGGCGGGACTGGGGCAGCAAGCGGGCACCACTGCACCTGGCTTGTCCTCACTGTGGGCACGTGTTCCTTCTGTCTTTGATATCTTTTTGCTTGGCAGGGATTGAATCTAAGTACTTTCTGCGGGGATGACACACTGATGTCCCCCCGTATGTAGCGCTCCCTTCTAGCTCTCACACGCTTCACACATCCTGCTGCTGCAGCAAGTGAGCAGGCTATCGGCACTGCGTAGATTACTCTTATCTCCAAGCCCTGAGATGTTCAGCTGTAGAATACAGTGAGGCTGCATCGCAGCTTCGTCCAGGGCTTGGCACAGGATAGCATGAGACGGCTGAATGCAAAAGGGTCTGCTGAGCTTTAGGAGGTTTTTACGGGGCTAATTCTGTCTTGAGACTGAAGGCATAAATATGTGGATGTGACACCAAAGGACTAATCATAATCCTATTTACATTCCTAGTTGGTTGTGAGTGTTAAGACTGCTGGATTATATTACTTTGTAGACCTTTTGTCCCGCTGGTCTCTCAAGTAAGAATCTGAACCAAGCTGTGAATAAAATACCACAGTGAATGTGACATTAATTTTCAGAACTCAAATGTTAATTTTTTGTTTAGTTACTTAATTTTAAAATGATGAAACTAAGCCACTTTGAAGGTGAATGAATCTTATAAGCTAAGAGAGAATTTACTAATAGAGGCAACAAAATAATCTCTACTGAAACCTAAATCAAATTAGTGTTTTTTTATTTGGTTAAAGTCCTATTTAGTAAAAAAGCATGCTTGCTATTTAACAAGCAAGCATTAGTTTTGGTTTCTATTTTGTTTCTTCATTTACCACTTCAATGTGAAGTCAAATGTGATTGTAACTTTAATTTTAGTTTTCGAATTGTTCTAAAAATTAAGGTACCTGCCCTCCTCCGTTGTGAAAGAGGAATATGAGCACGCTGAAATTTTTCAGTAACTTCTTCAAATTTCTGTTTTCTTTGTTGAAGTATTTGTTCTCTAATTTGGTGTTCCCTTTCTTCATGTTCTTTTCGTTTTTCTTCAAAAGCTCTATATTTAAAACAAAGCAACCAACACAAATACATAATAAATTAAAAAATTCAACAGAAGAAAGTTTTAGAACAATGCCATTAATTATAGTATTTTCATAGTTCAAACTTTTACTCAGAAAGAACAAATCATAGCTTTGTAAAAACTACACTGGATTGTGAGTGTTAATTTCCAAACCATATCCACATCTTTTGCAGGTAAGAGAAGGCTCTGTAATGAGACCACTTCTAATTTCTGGCAGGCCAGTAATCTGTTCTCATCTCCCAAGTTTTGCACAGAAAAATCTTTTCCTAAGAGCTATGTTACTTCTGGTAATGTAGATAACCAAGTTCATTAGTGAAAGAAGCAGCCTTACAAAATATGTGGTAATAGCAAGGCATGGTGACGCACTCGGAGAAGCTGAGGCAAGAGGATCACAAGAGGAGGAGGAGGATGGGGAGGGGAAGGAAGGAGGAAGGGGGAGGAGAAGGAAGGGGAGGGGGACGGGG